CCCGCCCTCCCTCCTCCCTCTCCTCCCTTCCCCTCCCCTCCCGGTGCCCGGGGACACCCGGGCCCAGCTCCAGCCCGCAACCCAGACCCCACGCGCACTCGGCTCCCGCCCTAACCCTGGGGGCTCGGCTCCAACCGAATAATGTATTCACTCTGCAACCTTCTGAGATGTCTTGTCTTTTTTTATTTGGTTTAGTTTTGTTGTGTGTGCGTGTGATTAAAAAAAAAAAAAAACTGTGCCTTTCCCACCCTTTGCAAAAGACTTTCTTCTCTTTTGCCACAGCAAACGGAGATGAGAAACAGATGTCTGTGCAGGACCAAGCAGTTATTCTCCTCTCGCCGCCCGCCCCCGCCCGTTCCCCTCCTGAGCTGCATATGTATAAAAAAGCAACCTAGGTCCTGCTGCAACTTGAATTGGCAACTCTTTCTGGGTGGGGATTCTCTGGTGAAAACCTCCAGGGGAAAAAAAAGTAATAAAGGAAGCTATCCTTGGTCAAAAGAATGTAATTTAAGCTCCAGAATCACACTATTTTGCAAATAGTGGTTTCCCCTATATTGGTCTCAATTGGAGTTTGTATTTTTGAAACATTAATTCATAACTTGTGTCTAGGGACCCCTCCATAGTTAAGATGGGTCATTTCAGGTGTAATGAATGCAGGGGCTTGGAATGCATACACCTAATAAAATCGGGGGTGGAGGAGGCACCTGCACAAAAGTGTTACAAGGACTATCGTGTTTGTTTACTGCTACTATGCCAGATGTGCTAAATATAACACTTCTTTAAAACAGTGATCCTCCAACTGTGAAAAGCCAGACCTCTGGCTGCCTGACTCCCTAGGAATCAGGGAGATGCACAGACTGAAAATCGGGGAGGAAAGGAACAAGATCAAGGATGAGGATTAGCATCTGCAAATTGAACTCTATCTAATTTGCATGTTTATTTCTTAGAATTGTAATTAAATTTGTGTAATAAATGTTTTCCATTTCATTTATATACTTAAAATTTGGGTGACTGACATGCAGTTAAGTGAATTTCCTTTTTCCTTTTAAAAGAAAATGTGGTTTATTCAATAAAGCAGCAAACAAATATTAAGCATAATTAGAACTAATCTGTTTTGAAGGTGTTTTTGTTGAACTTTGTACATTAAAGACACTCAGAGGTTTCAGGGGTATTAGGAAGCCTGGAGGAGGCAATTATGCTGAAAACAGACTAACCCAACAGACTATCAGGAGCATTATTTCATTTTTTCCACAAGACATTCCAGGGTTGGATGCCTAGAATTGGGAACCGGCACCCGTCTTGGCTTTATTTGAAAACTATATCAAATTGCATTGGCTGATGCATGATGCAGGTTATTACAATGATGATTTAAGAATTGTAAAAATGCCACTTATTTATTTATTTATTTGCAATCAATGAGAGTTGTAGTCCAGGTTAAAGGTAGAATATAATTTCCATTTGGGTCAGGGAGGAGGGCAAGGAAAGGCACAAGGGCATCCAAAGCAGTGTAAGTACTTGAGAATTCTAAATCCGTATGTAAAACTGGTTATCCTCTAACTCCAATGAACTAAATGTGAGGGCTTGGAGGCATGGCTTATTATTGTTTTTATCTCTCTGTATTAAAGTTTTATAGCATTTAAAGGACTATGGGGAAATCCACACACACACTTGGCTGTGTCAAAATACATAAAACCAAAAGGAGCAAATTAAGCATAAAATTGAGAAATAACATGAGACTAAGAATCAGCATGGGTTGCATTGGCATCTTTGGAGCTTTGCTTTGTCTCTGAGAAATGAGCCTTCTGGGAAATTGGCATTGCCCTTGGGTGAAGAGGACTCTTGGCTTTTAGTGGTACAACAAAATGACATCACAACACAAGAATCAAATCATTATGCTTCCCAGTACCCTTGCGGCTCTGGGTGTGAACCTGACCCTGTTTCCTTCAGATATGTCAGGCTAGCATGTCCTACTGCCGGCTTTCCTTGCCTACTTTTAATCTCAAGTTTATTGTTTTCTGAGATTCAGTGCCCAACTGTTGACAATGTGAACCTGTGTCTACAAGTAGAAAAGGCAGCCATATGTCTATGGAATGAGAAACATCATTTAAAAATTTAAAGTAAGTGGCAGCTATGGCTCGAGTAAAGAACTAACTGCAATTCAACAATGAAATATTTGGAATGAGTGAATGCTATTTATGAGGGACACTATTCGACTGAGAACTATGACATCATCATTTTGGGATATATGTGGATATGTGTGTGAGTTTCCAAGATAGACGGTTGATTATAAAACTTAAAATACTTGGAGCTGCAAATTCACTGAAGGCAGTGATTGTTTTTCTACAGTTAACAAACAGAGTGCCAGACTTAAAACTGCTGAAACCCATTTCACAAAATCTTTTACTCATTTGAAAGGGAGATTTTTGCAAGTAAAATCTGACTTATTCAGATTTCTGTGGACACAAACCCTGTTTGGATTAATAAAGTCTGAATTACTGGCTTTTAAAAAAAATGCAACTCTTTTTAGAGCAAAAAGAAGCACTGAATCGAATTCCTCTTCTCCCTTTTTCGGACTTTCTCTAATTAGACTTTCTTATCCAATCATTTCATTGAACCTATTCTTGTCATTGTCACCTATCACTTCCATGTTGCTAAATCCAAAGGTCTTTTCTTGTTCCTACTCTTTCTTGACCTGTTATTAGAGTTTGAATCAGTTGTTCAATTCTTCTTTCTTCAAATACCTTTTAAAATGGCTTTCAGGATAACACACTTTTCCTGACTTGACTCCTACTTTACTGGGTTGATCCCTTCCAAGGCTCCTTTGATGATTCCTCCTGGGATCTCAAAATGTCAGTCTCCCTCAAGCTCAGCCCTTGAACTTCATCTCTGCTCTATAGCTCCTCCCTTATCAATCTGATCCTGTCTCTTGGCTTCAAATATTGTCCAAATCTGATGACTCCTAAATTTATATCTCCAGCCCAGATTCTCTCCTGACCTCCAAACTCCATTTAGATTTCCAGTAGGTATCACAAGCTTTGCAGATCTAAAACTCAATCCCCGATTGTCTCTGCCCCCACTAACTTGTGCTATCATTGACATTCTCTATTCATTAACCTCACACCCTACATCTGACGCTTCAGAAATTCCTCAAGGAATTTCTTTTAAAGTTTTCTAGACACTGATCATTTCTCAGTATTGCTACTACCATCACCCGTCTAAGCCATCAGCACTACCTCATGCTTGGGATATTGCAATAGCCTCCTAACTGGTCTTCCTGCTTCAATCTTTGACCCTCTCTACAGTTTAGTCTTGGCTCAAAATTGATGTCACTGGTGTTATTTTTTGCTAAGACTCTTCCTAAGGTTCCCTATTTTACTCAAAAGCCAGAACTTTGCAATGGGCTGCAGAGGCTGACACTTCCCTGAATTTCCTTGACCTCACTCTGAGCTGCAGTCACTCCAGTCATTCTGCCTTCTTTCTGTTCCTCCAACATGCCAGGTCTTGCTAGCCTCAGGATGTTTGCACAGGCAGTTTCCTGTGTGGAATGCACTTTCCCAGATAACTGTGTAGTCCAATGCTCACCTCTTCCACATCCTGCTCAAATATCATTTTCTTAACAAGTCCTGACCATACTACTTAAAATGTGAACACTTCAACTCTATATCCTGCTTTATTTTTATCCAGAAGATTGATTAATAAGCTCTGTTTTATGTATATATTCTATTTACCACTTCTCTCTTTCCGCTAGGAAGAGAGATCCATATGGCAGATATTTTAATGTTGTTTTTTTTAATTTACCCCTGTCTAAATCTTCATTGCCTAGTACACCAAAGACAATAAATACATGCGTTGATTGATTGAGGATTTGACTGAAGGTTGTTTCACATATGTACAGAAACCCAACAAGGCTAAAATAGAGCTATTCTAGTGCATGTAGAATGGTGAAGCAGACAGTTTATTTTGTTACCAACTCATTTGCCTCTTGTAGAATTCTTTGCTTCCATGTTCTCATCCATCTGCAGCATTTCAAGACCTGAGGATACTACCAACGTCCTTAGCACCCAATGGTCTCATGCTGCCCTGCCTGCCGGAGAGTCTCCAATACGATGTCATCAAGTGGGTGCTGGTGCTCTGGACCAGCCCTCCTTTCTCCCAACTCAGATTTCCATCATCACCCAGATGCTTCTTCTAAGCTACAATCTTAGACAAAATTACAAAGTATGTCAAGTTGCTCTTCAGGACCCTTTAGTGTTACTTCTTGGCAAAGCCACCTTTGCAGAAGCCCAGAACTCCTCCACTTTCTCACCTTCCTTCAAAACTCACTCAGAAATGCTTCAATAATTACATGCCTCATATATGCAAGAATTGAGCTAGGCAAGACGGGTAAAGTAGAAATGAGTAAGACACTGTTCCTAGACTTATGAGGTTGTCCATATGGTGAGTTGCAAAGACAAGCATAGAATTAGTGGTACTATTTAGTAACTCAGGGCATAGTAGGAACCATGGGATACCAGTGATGGACAATCATATTCTCAGTGGGATGATCCAGAAAGACTAATCTAAGAAAGTAAAATCTAAGAAGTTGACCTTGAAGATAGGTAGCTCTCAATACGTAGAAATGGGCAATGAGTGAAAAGTATTCCAAGCAGAAGAAACAACTGGAGGAAAGATATGTAAGTTGGAAAGCAAAAGGTACTTTTAGAGAAGAGTGAGTGATCCGGTTTTACTAGAGGGCATGGGAAAGTAGAAGGTAGATGAAGCTGTATCATAATAGACACTGAAAAACAAGATGAGCTTGATTTTCATTCAATAAGCAATTAGTTCATTAAAGATACTTGAACTGGGGGATGACATAGTCAAAGCCAAGTTTAAGGATGAGTGAGGTCCAATGGAAAATGGTATTGGGAATAACAATCAGAAAGCTCTTTTGGCCACCAAGAGAGGAAAAATGTGGTTCTGCATTAGAGTGCAGGTCTCTGAGTGAGAAGAAGACCGCTGACATGCCACAGGTGTGAGACTCTTGGACATGTGGGAGATGGAATGTTTGGGCTATACTTAACTGAGGGAAAGAGGAGTGGAAAGTGACTCTGAGGTTACTGGTTGAGTTACTGTGTGGTCAAGAAACAGGTTTGAAGGGAATAGGATGTGCTGGTTCTGGGTATGTTGAATGTGAGGTGTTTATGGAACAGACAGATGGAGCATCCAATAGACATCTGAATGTCCTGGTCTAGCTGAGGCAGAATAAGAGAGCAAATTATAGAACTGTATCATTATTTTAATATATATTGAAGCTGAAGCCTTAGAACTTGGTGCAATGGTTGAAGACATTGTCAAGACCCCAAGAGTGAAAGAGTTACATCACTACTTTAAACAATCTATTAAATGCATTTATTTAGAGGTGAAAACAACATTTGTGGGCTAGATATATGAGTTATTTCAGTATTATCTGTAGTTAATAGTGTACATCCTTTGGCTTAAATTTAAAGGAAGAAATTAGGGATGGGGTGGTAGAGTTTTGGTACCAGGAGTCTCTCCAAACTGCCTTGAAAGCATAACACAGAGGTAATTTTATGACATGTTTCTGCATGTGGCTGAATTTACTTATGTGCCATCATAGGTGGAAAGTGATTTGTTTCATCAGATAATCCTGAAATAATCCCTGAAAAGATGTTCATTATTGATCGTGAGCTCCGAGTGTTATCTCTCTCGGGGATATTTGCATTTTAATAGGAGTATCATGACTTTAATCAAAGCAATTAATAATTAATGACATGATTTCAGATGTAATACAAGTCAGTAAGTATTATTTCTTAATGGAAATTCCATAACACATATTGTCCTTGCTCAGGGTACTATTTGGGGGGGACCTACATTGGTGAATAGCTAGGAATGATTTACAGTAAGCTTATCAATTATGTGTAGAGAGATGTTCTTCTAACATTCTTGGTAATTTTTTAATTAAAAAATTTCCATTGAAATTCCCTTAATATTATTAATACTATATTAGCTAAAAAAGCATGGTAACTAGGTGTCCAATGACACCAACATTCATCTCAAGACGTCAAGGAGAAAATGGGTCCTAAGTCATGTATGAATTTGGGTTGGACCTGGATAACCAGAGAAGAGGAAGGCCCTCTATGTGACCCACATGTGACCATGAGCACTGAATACTCTAGAAATGAGGGCACTGGATGAATCAAAGCCAACTCGATGCTTCAAAAAAATCTGCTTGGGAATATGGCCGTGCTGTTGTCAGGAGCACAGAGGGAGGAGGGAAGAGTTGTTTGAGCAAAAGGTAGTGAAAGAGTGTATGTGTGTGTGTGTGTGTGTGTGTGTGTGTGTGTGAGTACACATGTGTGTGTGCACGTGCGCATGCTTTGGAAGTGGACTGGGTTTAAACTTTTTACGTAATAAACTTGGATAATAAGTTAATGAGAAAATGGTGACATGAATATTTGCCAGAAATATCACTTTTTTTTTTGGTTGTTGTTATTTCTCTTTTCCTCTTCCAGAGATTTTCTTCCCTGTATCCTTTTCCTTTTTTTTTTTAAGAGCATATGTAGTTTTTTTTTTCTTCACCAAAAACCCAACACACAAGATCGACACTTTCTAGAACACTTAATTTTGAAATCTGAATTACTGAATACAGAGGTGCCATGTTTCATCTGAAATCTAAATGCAGATTTTGGTGAGGCCAGGGAGAGGCTGTGCAGGGTGGTTGGTGGTGGTGGTGTGGGATGTCCAGAGCTGGACAGCGACACACAAGGCTGTTTAAGCCTAAATATTATTCTCATTGTACAACAACAGAAGCCTCCTGAAACCCTCGTTTTATCATCCCAATAGAAAGAAGATATAAGCCAAAGGGCATAAGATCCAAAAAGGGGGCATATATAGAGAAACTGCAGCCACTCATAATTTGATTCAAACTCCTTTTCCTTCTCTTACATGCCTCATCTGTACATTGTTATAAAACAGGCAGGCTAAACATTTTATGCACAGATTAGCATAGTCAGTGATACTGTGTCATCACAATCAAGCTGCATTGGCACATAGAGAATTAGCCCAACATAGTTCTTTCAGGAGCTGTGGTATCTGTAGACATTGGCAGTATTTTTTTGAGCTCAAATTTCACCTACAAGTCTTTACACATTAATGTACACCTAGTCTATTTCTGCTTTTTATATAAGATTCAAGCCTCAAAGAAAAGTTTTGGTAACTGACAAGAATACACTCCAATTAAGTAATAATTTGAGCTATTTTTAAAAAGTATAGAGCTGGGCACAGTGGTGCACTCTTGTAATCAATCCCAGCAGCTCAGGAGGCTGAGACAGGAGGATCATGAGTTCAAAGCCAGTCTCAGCACAAAGCAAGGCACTAAGCAATTCAGTGAGACTCTGACTCTAAATAAAATACAAAAAATAGGGCTGGGGAATGTGGCTCAGTGGTAGAGTGCTCCTGAGTTCAGTCCCTATTACCGCCCCCCCCCCAAAATAAAAACCAAAACAAATAAAGTGCATCTTTATTCTGTTTTTAAAAAAGGATAGAGGTTTAAGTGCCATCATAATTCTATTTATTAAATTTAAGTAGTATGCTCTTTCATTACTAAAATGATTGACACAAAGTTTAAGTGAAATGTGTCCACTTTCACAAGCATGTTTTTAATAGATCAAATATGTTCCAGTAGAGATCTACGATAGCTATAAAGGCATAAAGCCCTATTTCTGATAAAAATATAAGGGAGACATAGCATTTGCTGATCATTTTTCTCCCCTGTAGGTAATGGCCTTGGCTTAAAGCTCTTGATTGAATGACCATGTATACAACACAGAGAGAGTGAACTATGTCAATAACTGGTGCAGGAAAGGGGAACTAGGGGGGGGATACCAGGAGAAAAATTCATCTTTAAGCATTTCTTTGTATTCCTACTTTATGAGTTGTAAAAAGCATGCAGGCCTATCAAATTTCACAACAAAACCTGCTTATGCCATCGGAAAGGTATATTTATTTTCCACAATCTAAAGGGAAAGCCACACAATTGGTGCTGGAAAAAAAATGGAGAGAGAGGCAGAAGGAGGCGGTGGGGGAGAGAGAAAGGGCGAGAGAAAGAAAGAAAAGAAACAACCTGCAGCAGACATCACCTGAGCAGGAAATTACACATCCTGCACACACAGGCAGGCTCTGCACACACATGCACAGAATTCATCTCTGACAATTTAATTGTTTAATGGTAGGACTAACAAGGAATCCTTTCTAAAGTAATGGCATATAAAGGCTTCCTAGTGAAGTTAATATTCCTGCTGCATTTGATGGGTGTTTCCCATTTGTGCAGTTCTGCCCTAACAGACTCCTGGTGTTTGATGGGGGGGAAGCAGGAGGGGTGATGGGTCTGTATTCAATAGCAGGATCTGGAGAATGCCTTAGCCTGTGACCTTAGCCATTAAAACAATAAATCCAAGGCCATGATTGGCACCAGAGCAATTGCTTACGTGGGTTGTAATGTCTTGGCTTGCAGTCCTAAAGATCTGGTCTTCGTGGACCACAGGCTGGGTGTTTCAGGCACAAAGTTCTGCTTGCAGAGTTGTCTGTTTTTGCTCAGTTCACTAGAACCAGGGTTTGGCAGCCGTTTCTGCTGAGGTTGAAGGACTTCAGTGTGACCAGTCTTCTAGATAATGACATGCGTGATGCCTCAGCTGCTCTGGTTTGAATTCTCATCCTGAGTCACAGACGCTTCTCATATTTCCTTAGGTTTCAACCTTGCTCCTAGGCTTTTATTTGATCCCCGGATGGCCTGCCTGTTACAGCAGTGTACATAACCATGAACACTACTTGGAAGAAGGACCATCTTGAGAAGCAGGAAGTTTTCAAAGCAGACCCTGACATGTTCTCATTTGGTAGTTTCCATTCTTAATACATTTTACTTTGTTTTGCTCTGAGTGACTTGGCTTTGGATGGAAAACAAAGTTTCATTGCCTGCATCAGAGGAACTCAGTGGAGGTGGTCTGAACACCATGGAGAAGTTGCTTTGCTCTGCAGCACGTTTCCCTGTGGTTGTGAGCGACCAGCATGCTGTGCTGGCTCCTCTCACTGAAGCACTGTGTCTCTCAGTCAAGGAAAAGGCTTAGTAGGCAGAGTTGGAAATGACAGACTATTTTTAACACGAGCTTTCTATCCCACAGCTCTGGTTCCTACTTCTATTATCATTACTTATTCATAGACTTTTATTCCCAAATATCATTACCCTTTACCGTAATAGGATCAGCAAAGCAACCACTTAAAACAAAACAAACAGATGCAGGAATCCAAGTCCTGTAGTGGTCCTGTTTTCTCCACTGTGCCTGCTCCCTGCCTCTCCCTGACTACCTAGGGGAGAAGTTGATTTTATCAGTCGCTAAGCAGCTTGGCTGCTTCAGAAATGCCAGAGTAACAAAGGGACTTGGCACCAGAAAAGGTGTGAAGGCACCAGCAGTCTAGGAAAACAGGAGGGAGGTAACAAAATCTAAGAAAAAAAAAAAAAAAAACAAGGGAGGAAGAAGGAAGAGGAGGAAGGTGGGAAGTGTCAAGAAAACTAAAAAGAATACGCAGTGTGCATTCCTTAAGCTTAGGGTCTGCAGAGGAAGACCCTTCTAAAGCAGACCCCATGTAATTTACAGTGAATCTTAAGTGGGATCCTGGGGTTATTCCCTGCCTTCTAAAGATAGCTACAACGTACTGAGGACCTGCTATGTGCTTTCTATATGTTATATGATTTGCACATCTTTTAATAGTGGGTATCATTTTTTTCCTCCTTTCACATTCACGAAGACTAAGGTTGAGAAAGCCTGAGTAGCTTATCTAAAGTTGTATTTCTTAACTTAGTGGAACTGGAATGTAAACTTAGATTTCATGAATCAAAAAAAAATGTGCCCATAACCATTACAACTTTTTCATATTGACACCCACAGAGATACATGGCCTTGTATTTTAATCAGTCATTTGTCTCTCCACTTATGCATTTATTCACTATATACCACCTTGTTCCAGAAGTGATTTAAGGTAGTGGAAATGACTTGGAGTTATACATATCTAAGCAGCTAGCACACAGTACACTACAAGTATGTGTTGATCAACAGAGTGGTAGAACCTTGATTTGTTAAAAGTTCAGGATTCTTTCACCTTTGCTTTTTTTTTTTTTTTTTTTTAATCCAGAAACTCATCTGTGGTTTGGATATGGAGACAAGAGACTGGATAAATCCATCTCCCCAAATCTCTTATAGACCTAGGCTTCTATACAGGACTAGCTTATCATGTGGAAGGAAAATTATTTTCTCTTTCATCATTAATTACAGAAGGGTAAGAAGTAAATTGTCAGGAGGAAAAACAAATAACTTTATCATAACCCAACAAACACTACATCAACCAGGTGATCAAGGTCAATGTTAACAAATGCTAACTCAAGTTGATAGTATGCTCCGTGTGATGTATTGAAGTGGCACTTTACCTCTGTGGTCTTCCTCCTCCAATGCCATTACTTCAACCTAACCATGAAAAACACCAGGCAAATCCCAACTGAGAGGCATTGTATAAAATACTTGACTGGTACTCCTCAAAACTGTCAAGATCATCAAAAACAAAGAAAGACTTAGAAACTGTTGCAGTCCAGAGGAGTCCACCAAGACAGGATGACTACATATAATATGGTATCCACAGAACAGAAAAAGGAAATTCGGTGAAAACTAAGGAAATCTGAGGAAGTATGGATTTTAATTATAATGTATCATCATTGTTCATTAATTTAAAAAAAAACACCCATACCATAAGTTGTTCATAAGAGCAAAAATAGTTGTACTGGGCATATGGAATTTTGTTGTTTTCTATAAATCTAAAACCCTTGTACACAATTAAGCCTATGAAAATATGTTTACACACACACATACACACACACACACACACACACACACACACAGTGAATAATCCAAGAATACCGAGAGAACCTGTAACATGACTAGATGGAGAATATTTGCCCCTATCTTGAAAGCCAATCCAATCAAGATGAATAGCTTTTTCTTAAATTAGTGCAATTTAGTTTCCTGTTGATTTTGGAGTTTTATGACCGGCTTTTGAATATTTAAAGATAGGGCCAAGTTGCAAAGGAATGATTCAGTTTATTCCTGTGTTCCCAGTAGATATTCTTCTGGAATAACTGAATTCCATTGCAACATATGCTTGCAGAGCTTCCCTGGCTGGCACTGAAGACCTTCCTCCCACCACCCACAGTCCAATGTCAAGCTACTCCAAGGTGTTAGTTTCTCTCTCTTTAGAACTTAACAAGGGTTCCTGAATCAATCCAGAAACTGATCAAATAATTATCTCAATTCAAAACACAAATGCCACATCCTGTTTATACTAATTGGTAACTCCTAAAGTCTTACATGTAGCAATAACAGCAACTTTGTCATCAATAGAAATCTTAGATGTGTTGGGGGCTGGGGTTGTGGCTCAGCGGTAAAGCGCTCGCCTAGCACATGTGAGGCCCTGGGTTCAATTCTCAGCACCACATAAAAATAAATAAAATAAAGATATTGTGCCCAATTACAATAAAAAAAGAAATCATAGATGTGCACCCAGCACATTACAATTATTATAGATAACTTTAAATATTGTTTACACTATCACTGCTTTGTAATTATAGTTATTAGTATTTGCTAGTTATTAGATTTGCTACTGTATCTTGATATTTAATATATTAATTATGCACGTGGATTACTGTATTACAAATTTTAAAGTATTTTGATAATTGTATTTTAATATAATTGGTTTCTTTTGTGATTCTATGGTATTTAAAAATATATATATGTGTATATATATATATATATATTTTTTTAAATTTATTTATTTATTTATTTTTGTGTGTGTATGTGTGTGTTTTGATTGATTTTTTTGGTGCTGGAGATTGAACCCAGGGCCTTGTGCATGCAAGGCAAGCACCCTACCAAATGAGCTATATCCCCAGCCCCTTAAAAAATATATTTGAAAACATTTTTCTGAGAAGGAGTTCAAAGGCTTCTCTAGATTGTTAAGAAAACTCACAGAACAAAAAAGTTGAAGAACCTCTGAAGTAGTGGAAGAAACTTGAATTGAGTCATAAATTGTGTACTCTCCATCAAATTCACCCCTAGGATACTCATTTTTCTCAGCAGTGCCAACTCTATAAGGAATCACTATTATTATTTGTTATCCTTGGCCATTAGATAAAAATGACTTTTTACCAAGGTTTTAAATGCAGTTCATTGCAAGGAATATTTTTCACCCAATGATTTAGACCATGCTTACATGAGCAAAATGAAATGGAAAATTGAGTCAATTCTCTAGATAATAATTCACGCTAATAGGTTCCTACATTTGCCTGCAATATCCAGATAATCAAAGAAAAAGTGTTTTTAACTTGAATTAGCAGCATAGCAATATCACAATTCTCAACTGCACTTCGAATACGTAGATTCAAGTGCCAGAATTGACGTTCTTAAGAATATGAAGAGGAATGTGACTCTTTCTGGAGATACTCCAAATACACACACTGAGATAACTCATATATTCCAGAGATTTTTGTGGTTGACTGTGCATCAAGATACATACTCACGATTGATTAGAAATGAGTTCTGTGTTAGATAAACCTTTGTCATTCCATCTGGATCCACAGATCTCTAAACCAATTGGACTTCTGTGTAATACTTCTGTCTTAGGATAGTACTGTCTAGTTCAGACCTTCTGGTCATTTGTATGAATGTAGGGAATGTTTTAAATGGAAACACAGGCTTACTCTTGACTTGAAGTGTATAGATCCTAAGCAATCTATATACAATAGTGTACATTCAATGATCTTTTTTAAAAAATATATTTTAGTTGTAGATGGACACATATATTTATTTATTTTTATGTGGTGCTGAGGATTGAAGCCAGTGCCTCACATGTACAAGGCAAAGGCTCTACCACTGAGCTACAGCCCCAGCCCCATTCAGTAATCTTTTAAGAAAGCTTAACAATTTCTGTGATTTGTATATAGTTTGTCTCTCAAGGTTCATGTGCTGGAGGCTTGGTCCCTAGGGTGGTGCTATGAAGAGGTGGTAGAACCTAGCTGGAGTCTAGTGGAAACAACTTAGGCTATGAGCATTACCCTTAGAAGGGATTGATAAAAAGATCTGTTGCTTGGGGAGGGTGGGGCATGCATGCCTGTAATCCTAGCAGCTTGGGAGGCTGAGGCAGGAGGATCATGAGTTCAAAGCCAGCCTCAGCAACTGAGTTAGGCTCTAAGCAGCTTATCTCTAAGTCAAATATAACAAAGGGCTGGGAATGTGACTCCGTGGTTAAGCATCCCTGGGTTGGATCCTAGGTAACAACAACAACAAAAAGTCTATTGACTCCTTAAATGTTTGATGTCTTGTCTCACCATACACTCTCTCCACATAGGCATTTGCTCCTCCTAATATCCCATTCACCATGCTGTGATGTAGCCAGAAGGCCGTCACCAGAGCCTAAGAAGATGCAGGTGTCTTACTCTCGGATCTCCAGAACTGCAAGATCACTTTTCTTTATAAGTTACCCAGGCTGGCTATGGTGGTGCACATCTGTAATCTCAGAATTTTGGGAGGCTGAGACAGAAGGATTGTGAGTTCAAAGCCAGGCTCCGAAATTCAGCAAAGCCCTAAGCAATTCAGTGAGACCCTGTCTCTAAATAAAACATACAAAAGGGCTGGGATACAGCTCAGTGGTTAAATACCCCCTGGATGCAATCCCTGGTACTGACAAAACAAACAAACAAAAAACCCAGTTACCCAGTCTTAGTTATTTTGTTATGGCAAAAGAACATGGACTAAGACATAAACCAAATGTACACTGAAAATACTTGAATTAGTTAGAAAATCAAATAAAGAACTGGAAAGTCTTTGTGAGTCTGATCTTTTCCATCCCATGATAGAATTCATTCAGTCTAAAGAATGTATTATATTTTCTCTCTCAGCTATCCCCTCTCATAACTCTGCACCTGAAGCTCTAAAGAAGAATTTAATTCAGTTGACCATAATTATGTTGAGAAGATAAACTATAGCCATATTGACTCTAGGTAATTTTTGCAACAAAAAGAAAGTTATCTGGCCAGTAGACTATCACTTCAAACACATATTTCACATGGTATTAGTTTTCTGGTGGTTTGTTGGCAATCTGGTATTCCTGGTCTTATAGAAGCATCACCCCAATCTCTGCCTTCATTTTCTCATGGTGATTTTTCTGTGGCAGGAGGATCATGTCCCCTTTCTATAGGGACACCAATCTTATTGGAGTAAGATCTGCCCTTAATGACCTCATCTTAATAATCATATCAGCCATGGCCATACTTCTAAAAAAAGTCACATTCTGAGTGATGAGGGTTTGGACTTCAGCATATGAATGGGGTGGGGGGTGTCACAATTTAAGCCATAACATACACATTAAGTTGCTAAGAGCCACAGCCAAGTAATATGATGCATGGCATTTTTGGTTGAAAGGTGACACCAGCTAG